GTGTATATGTATATATGCATGTGTATATGTGTATATACATGCGTGTATATGTATATATGCATGTGTATATGTGTATATACATGCGTGTATATGCATATATGCATATGTATATGTGTATATACATGTGTGTATATGCATATGTATATGTATATGTGTGTATATGCATATGTATATGTATATATACACGTGTGTATATGCATATGTATATGTATATATACATGTGTATATGCATATGTATATGTATATATACATGTGTATATGCATATATACATGTGTATATGCATATATACATGTGTGTATATGCATATATGCCTATGTGTGTATATGTATATATGCATATGTATATGTATATATGCATGTGTGTATATGTATATATGCATGTGTGTATATGTATATATGCATATGTTTATATGTATATATACATATGTGTGTATGTGTATATATGTATATATATACAGTTGAAAAAAATTATAAAGTGAATACCCATATAACTACTGTCTAGATGCAAGTTAAAAACTAGAAATTTTTTCTTTTTTTTCCCACCCTGTCTTACAGTGCTGAAAAAATTAGAAATTTTAAACCAAGAGTACACTGCCACTTGCATGAACTTCAGGGAATCTGTGAATTATCTGAAGTTATATATAAAATTAGAGGCTTTATGAATTTTTTGGGAAAAAGAGTCTAGAACTTTTCAGAAGCTTAAAAGAGTTCCCCTCATTTTAAGCACTTATTAGAGCAATAAGACTTAAGACAGCTCCGTAACTTGGTAGCTTTGCAGTCTTAGACTAGCCTCTTGTTCGCTGAATATTGATTTCTACATCTGTAAAATGAAATAATGATGTTGACTCTCATGAGGCTGTTTTGAGGAACAGATGAGTTTATCTATCTGTGAAATAGCTTTGTAAGCTCCAAAGTACTCTTTCAAATGTTAATTATCTATCTTTGTTAGCAATTGAAAAATTTAGCGTAGGTCTTTTCAATATCTAAAGAACTTCTGGCTGGGCCCAGTGGCTCATGCCTGTAATCCCAGCACTTTGGGAGGCCAAGGTGGGTGGATCACTTGAGGTTAGGAGTTCAAGACCAGCCTGGCCAACATGGTGAAACCCTGTCTCCACTAAAAATACAAAAATTAGCTGGGCGTGGTGGCACATGCCTGTAGTCCCAGCTACTCGGGAGGCTGAGGCAAGAGAATCACTTGAACCTACGAGGTGGAGGTTGCAGTGAGCTGAGATTGTGCCACTGCACGCTAACCTGGGTGACAGAGTGAGACTCCATCTCAAAACAAACAAACAAAAAACAACTGGTAAATTGCTTTTGTTGCACTACATTGGTTTAAATGTATGGTCTAGCATGATAATGCTAGTCTGGCAATACACTAGTTCCTGGCCAAGCCAACCATTCATTCTTCAAGATCATGCTTGCTCCTGAGCTGCTGAATAATTTCCAAAGAAAATCACTTAACATGGCAAAATGCTTTCACTTTAAACTCATGATCCTGACACTCAGATACACATTCATTACTTCTCAGTAATTACTGAAAGTTACTGAAATTTTCTAGTAAGCCCACTTTTCTACCCTCCTAGATGAGTATTTCCTATTAGGCTCTCTCCAAGGTTACCCAAGGTTCCACTTCTGACCATGATGGAATAACAAGGACTGGACTTCCTGCCACAAACAACTAGAAAACTGGGCAAAATATATAAAACAACTGTTTGCTATTGTTGCCCCCAAATTCTGCCTGGAGACAGTTTCCAGATCCTGGGCATAGAAAGGTAAACCCAGTGTCTAGGAACTTTATTGAGTTGAGGAGACAGAGATCAGAGTTCACAGATGTGGAAATTGAAGGGCAGAGTTTTGGAAAGGATGAAGCTATACAAATAAATAAATAAATAAAATTTAAAAACTGGTAAGTCTGAGATTTTGCTAAGTACTTGGTTGTCCATACAGCCAAGCTGTCAATCCATACAGCCAAGCACAGAATGACCAGGGAGTATAAGCTAAATAATTCTTAGAGCTCACAGAGGATGAGAAGGCATTTGAGCTCTGACCAGCCAGAGTGAAAAGTTCTCAGTGAAAACCAAGGAATCCACTGAAGACCTCTGAGCAGTTATTAATTAGTAGTAGAGCCAAATTATTCCTGGAATGAAGACTACTCTAGACCTACCCTAATAAAGCTTAAAAACAGTCCTCAAATGAATCAAACTCATCCACAAATAACTGGCTGAAAAAAAGGCACAACCTTCCTAAAGGGGGACAATAAAATTCAGACACTCAACAAGGATGCAATTCACAATGTCCAGTATTCAATAAAAAAATGATTATTTGTTGTTGTTGTTGTTGCCGCTTGTTTTTGAGACGGAGTCTCAGTTTGTCGCCCAGGCTGGAGTGCAGTGCTGCGATCTTGGCTCACTGCCTCCCAGGTTCAAGCAATTCTCCTGCCTCAGCCTCCTGAGCAGCTGGGATTACAGGCACCCGCCACCATGCCCAGCTAATTTTTTGTATTTTTAGTAGAGACAGCGTTTCACTATGTTGGCCAGGCTGGTCTCAAACTCCTGACCTCAGGCGATCCACCTGCCTCAGCCTCCCAAAGTGCTGGGATTACAGGCGTGAGCCACCGCGTCCGACTCAATAAAAAATTATTAAACATGCTAAGAAGCTCAGTTCATCTGAGCTTAAAACTTCTTAAAGTCTTAGGAAAAGGAAAAATATGTAATTATCTCTTTAAAAGTTGAGTAGTTTGTGACATACTAAAGTCACTTAATCAGAAGAAATTAATTCTACAATATTCTTAAAGGCAATCTTTCAGCTTTTAGATAAAAAACATTTGATAAAATGGGGTTCACTTCTTCTAGAAAGACTTCTATCACAATTGTATTTTAAGACTGTTTCATGTAGATTTGTAATCTGGTGTTCTGAAACAACATAAAGCTTGGTTTCTCTTTTAACAAAACTGAGACGAGTTCTCATGCCTTCTTTTTCTCAAGGTAAATATATCCAATTCTATCTTATTCTGACAACATTTTTCTTATCATTCTCTGGATGCACTCTGGTTCCTCCATGTTTTTTAATTAAATGCCATTGCTGCCATGTTAAAACTAGGAATAATTAGTTCTACAAAGACTAGAAGTCCAATAAACCATGGGAGTATAAAATATATTGTCATAGTTGATGTTGTCAATAATAACCATGATAAAGGTCACAAAATACTAGTATGTAAAGTTTATGAATCCTTTTATCTATGTCAGATGCTGTGCTAAGTGCTTCATGAGGGCTATCTCATTTTACTCTCACAACTCTGTGAGATAGATGCCATTGTTTTCTGTTTCATAAATGAGAAATTTAGATCACTGAAAGGTTTATAAATGAACTCTTTCCACAACTATACTGTATAATAAGCCACTCCAAAACTCAGTGGTTTAAAACAATACTCATTCATTATCACACATCTACAGGTTGACTGGAGTTTGGCGGGTCTAGGCCTGGGCCCCAGTTGGGCATCTCTGCATCTTACTAAAAGATCGGTTCAGGCAATTCTGTGCCATATGCATGTCATTCTGGGACCAAAGAGCTTGCTAGGGTATGTACTTCTCATGGCAATGACACAGGCACAAGAGAGAAAGCAGAAATATGGGGTCTCTTAAGGCCTTGGATCTGATTTGGCACACTGTTACTTCACCACAACCCATTGGTCAAAGCAAGTCACACAGCTAAATTCAAAATCAAGGACTGGGGAAGTATACCCCACCAAAGTCCATGGCAAGGGTGTGGATGCTAAGAGGCATGAAGGATTAGGTAGAATAATTCAATGTAGCACAAAACGCTCAATAATACTTCCAAAGTCATACCCATTGTGGCAGTCAGGGATTCAGTTTGGCTGAATGTAGCAGAAAACCCAAATAACAGTAGCTTAATAAAATAGGGGTTTATCTTCTCTCATGCAAAGTCTGGAGATAGCCAGTCAAGAAGCTGATAGGGCTGTTCCATGACATTACCAGGAACTCAGGTTCCTTTTTCATTTCTGTTCCACCATCCTTAAGATGTGACCCTCATGTTTATGTTCACAACAAGGCTGCTGGAGCTTCAGCCCCATATTCTCATTTCAAGTAGAAAGAAAAGGAAAGGCAACAGACATAAAATGGAAGTACACCTCATCCAGAGATTATACTTACATCTCATTGGCCAGACCATGTCACAGGCCACGCTCACTGAGAAAGAGGTTGAGAGATTTTTTTTTTTTTAAGAGAACACTGTCATTCCCAACACAGGGTTAAATTAGTAATAAAAAGAGAAGAAAACATTGACATTAAGTAGGAATTAACAGTATCAAACATAGGGAGTATTTGTGCCAGAATTTGCCCATTAGTTTAAAACTATACTTAATATGATGATATGATTCTTACCATCTTAAAAAATATTTAATATTCTAATATATAATATATGCTCATGGAAGACATTTTGGTAGTTATCTTAAAGTACAAAGAAGAAAAATCAGCCATAAGCCATTACAAAGATACAACCACTGTTAAAATTTTGCTATCTCACCTTCCTTAGGTTGCTTTACCTTGTATACTTACAGTATATTTGTATATCTAAATTGGGCTCATTCTCTACAAATAGCCAGTCTCATCTCCCTAGTATTTTAAAATTTTGTTTTATAGATCATAAGACAATATATACTCATTATGGAAAAATCTAGAAAAAACAGAAAAGTATAAAGAAATAAAAATACTTTACCTATAATTCCATCCTTAGATCTAATTCCTTGCTGTGATTTTGAAAAAATGACTTATACACTTTTTGTGCATTATATGTATGTCAATATAGTTTAAGTCATATTATATATAAATTTTTCATTTGGCTTTTAAAAAATATAAGACAAACACAAGGTTTTTATTAACATAATTTTAAATACCTGCCTGACGTTTTACTTAAATATCGTGTTTAGATTTCCAAGGTTGTGGTATTATAAATCATGTTACTCTGAACATCTATTTTTACACAAGCTTCATCCACATTCCGGGAACATTTTCTAGAAGGTGGAAATAAAATTGTGTTATATTATGATGTGTATTCTTGAGTTTTTGTGTTGATTCATTTCCTAGTAATCAGGGAATGTCCTTAAGCAAAGCATATTCTGCATGTTTGTTTGCAGTTTGAGAAAAGTTACTGTTTAAAAATAAAACCTTGTTGTTTGATGCTCTCCTTCTAATGCGTATTTAATCCTTTTTCACACTTTCACGTCTGAAGGTGGGCCTAACGACATTATCGTTAAGGGATAAAACTTCATTATTTTGACTCGGACACTAATGTGTTCTTATCATGTGCTTCTTGAATGAGCAGTTTTCTCTTCGGGCATCTTGGAGCGTTCTGTTACAGACTTCCTTGAACAACAGGACATGAAATAAAACCTCGATACTTTTTACTTTTGTTTTTAAAATCTAGATACTTTTACAAGAACTCTATTTGTCCAGGATACAGCCCTTCCGTTTTCCCAGCCTCTCCAACTGGCTCCTCCCCCTCCCCAACCCCGCTTTCAAAGCCGCCCCATCGTTCCCACGCTAGCAAGTTAATGTCCTTATTTACGAGAACTTGTGTTTCACAGTCTTAACCACGGAGGTTAAGATGTCTCTGCCTGGAATTGCTTTGTTTTTAAAGTTTTTCCAGCCCATCTGTCGCGGAAAAGACCCTCAAAGTGGGACCCAGCCCCGCCCCCACCTGGCCCCACCCCCTCTGGTCCGGAGTCTTCCATCTCCATGGTTACGCGGCGGTTGCTGCGAGAGCCCAACTGCCCTGACGGTCGCGGTGAGGGCCCCAGGACAGAAGCAGACAGACACGGCTCCTGCTGTCGATTCCGATCCAGGTCAGCCTACTCGGGGCTCCGCGCCCTTAACCCGGAGGTGTGTCCCGCCAGGCGGCGAGCGTGGGGCAGCTGGCGGAGCCCGGGCGGCTGGAGGACCGCGTCCTGCCTAGTCGAGACTTAGCTCTCAGTCTCGATCCTTTAGGCTGCGCCGCCGCTGAGCTGGAACAGCGGTCCATTCCCGCCGGAGGCGCCCAGGGCTGCAGGGCGGCCCTCTAGCCACTGCGCGGGTGCCTGAGGCCTTCCGCCTCTGTTCCACTCCACTGGCTACCCCAGAAGCCGGACCTCGGGAGACTTAGTAATTGGTGGGTGGATGCCGGGAAGGTGCTGAGCCGCGTCCCTAGCGACCAGGCAGCGTTGCGCCTGCGCACACAGACCCGGAGCGGGACGGACTCTCCCACAGACTGACACTCGCGCATGCGCTGCCTGCGATCCTGGAGTACTGATTCAAAGCTGTTTTAAGCGATTCCCTTATGCCGCGAACTGTTGTAACCACAAAACAGATAGGACTAATTTAGTCCTCACGCCTCTGGAAAGAAGTGAAACAAGTGCCCAAGATCTCACAGCTAGACAGTGGTCGGGTCACGATGGAATCCAAGCAATCTGGTTTCACTGGACAAAATGCCTCGTGCTTCCGTACCCATCCATCGGAAAGCTAATAATGCTGAGGAGCTGGCTTTATCTACCTGATATTGCCTTTGTTATACTCTACATGCCAAGTTCCATTGTGCTCAGTTACTAATATTCAGGAAAATCAGAAAACTCGGTCAAAAGCTGCCACTTTTTCCTTATAGTAAATGGAATTAATAACCAGGAGTTCATTTTTTTCCATGATGCATAACTCTTACGTTTTGGTTTTTGCTTTTGTGTTTTTTATCGACAGTCTGAACTCCATTTTAGATGTGCGGAAAAGATTTTTAATGATCTGAGCAAGAATTGTTTTCCAAGATTCTAGTACAATTACGAAAGGTTATTTAGTGAATGTGGTGAAATAAGCATTTCCTCTTTCAAGCTGTACTCTTGGGTTTCTCGTTAATTTTACCTTCCTCCCCTACAAATACTGCTTAGCCTTTTTTTTTTTTTTTTTTTTTTTTTTTTTTGAGACGCAGTTTCGCTCTTGTTGCCCAGGCTGGAGTGCAATGGCGTGATCTCGGCTCACCGCAACCTCCGCCTCCCGGGTTCAAGCGATTCCCCTGCCTCAGCCTCCGGAGTAGCTGTGATTACAGGCGCCCGCCAGCACGCCCGGCTAATTTTGTATTTTTAGTAGAGACGGGGTTTCTCCGTGTTGGTCAGGCTGGTCTCGAACTCCGGACCTCAGCTGATCCGCCTGCCTCGGTCTCCCAAAATGCTGGGATTACAGGCGTGAGCCATCGCGCCCAGCCTGCTTAGCCTTTTTTTTTTTTTTTTTAAATTAAGAATATCATGATAGGAATATATGTTTAGTGACCATAATTTAAATAATTGAAAATGTTAATTATCAGATGTTTCAATTATTTGAAATCCCAATCATTGTCTGTCTTCAATAAAGTCCTTCATTTTTAAAAATAATGAAAAACAGGAGAGGCCTAGATACTAATAAAAATACTAATAAGCTAATAGATGATATTATGACTCTTTACAAATACAATATTGGAGAAATCAGAAGAGAAAAAAACAAATTTGCATAAACCCACGTTTTTAAAAAAAAATTGTTGTTTTATTTAGCCAGAATGCCTCCAACTCAGGCCGAAAGTGTTATAAGGAGTATTATACGAGAAATAGGACAAGAATGTGCAGCCCATGGAGAGATTGTTTCTGAAACTCTGATTGCTTTTATGGTAAGAAGAAATCATTTTGTGATTACTACTTTATTAACAGCTTTTTAAAGATGTGGTGTCCATTTTCCCCTTTAAATTCTATGAAGCTTTCATAGATGTTTTTCAGCTTAAACATAATGAGATCATCGGACAAGTTAGTGAAAACATTTTAAAAACGTTTATAGAGCATGTGAGTTGTAGATTTATAGAGACTGATTTAGAAGACCTTGATGAGTTTGGAAAACATAAATAATGTTCTCCTGTGTGGGAATTTTTTGGTGTGTATTTTTGTTTGCCGTTGTTAAAAATTACTCATTGCTATGGTTTCTCTGTTCTTGCTTTTGGTTAAGACAACAATACACAATAAAAATACAATAAAATATACCATAGTTTCCCAACTGAAAACCTAGCCATTGCTTTCAACTTATTTCCCCATATAACTTTTCTAGCACCCCATTCAAATTTGATGTTTGTCGCTTCTTTTCTTCAGCCTCTAACAAGGGTACTGATGAGTTCAGTAGTAAGAAAAATAGTTGAAAAGCCAACCCCACTGTAATCAGGAGGTAGTTGTTTAAAAAATGGAAACACATTAAACTAATAATATGAAATAAAATTGCTTAATGGATTCTTTCCTACTTAATGGACTTGTTCCTACTTTTTTCCAGGTGAAAGCTGTTGTCCTGGATCCAAGTAATGGCTTTAACATGGATAGAACCCTCATGAAAAGTGATGTGCAGAATCTTGTTAAGGTGATTACCCAACAGTCCTCAAATTTGCAATTACTTATTCTCAGTTGTAAACACAGTATTTGTGTTAGTCATTATTGCCTTCAGCTAAATGAAACAAAAACCCACAAAATAGTAGTACACATGAGGTATTTTTCTCATAACACAAAGTGTGGAGAGACATAGACCCTTCTTCCTGGCTTCCTGGGGCATGCCATCCTTGCAATATGGTCATCTGATGGTCAAAAGATAGCTACCCTACCTCTAGGTAGAAAGAAGGCGGGAAGGCAAAGGGCAAAATACGTGTGCCAGTTGGGTCTATCACCTTCTCTCCGGAAAATAATAATTTTCCCAGAATCCCTTCCATCTACTTACATTTATTGACCAGAATGATACTGTAAGTGACCTAGGGACACTCACTTCTTTTTTATTTTTTAGATGAATAAATCCCTGCCCCAATCCAAATTGAGGCTCTGTTAGTAAGGAAGGGCGGGCAGGGAAATTGGGCAGGTAGCAGCATCTGCTACAATATTTTAGTGAAACCTTGTTATTAATCTCTTACATTGCAAATATTAACTGGTTTGTCATGCACTGTGAAGTTGAATAGAACTAAATTAATTTGCATTTCTCTAATGCTGAGTGATGTTGAGCATTTTTTTCATGCTTGTTGGCCATTTGTATGTCTTCTTTTGAAAAATGTCTATTCATGGCCTTTGCCCACTTTATAATGGGGTTATTTGTTGTCGAGTTGTTTGAGTTCCTCGTAGATCCTGAATATTAGTCCTTTGTCAGATGCATAGTTTGTACATATTTTCTCCCATTCTGCAGGTTTTCTTTTCACTCTGTTGATTATTCATTTTGATGTGTAGAAGCTTTTTAGTTTATTTAAATACAATTTGTCTATTTCTGTTGCATTTGCTTTTAAGTAATGAATTCTTTGCATAGGCCAATGTCCAGCCCTAGGTTTTTTTCTGGTATTTTTATAGTTTTAGATCTTACATTTAAGTCTTTAATCAATCTTGAGTTGTTAATTTTTGTATATGGTGAGACATTGGGATCGGTTTCATTCTTCTACATATGATAATCCAATTTTCCCAGCACCATTTATTGAATAGGATGTCATTTCTCCAGTGTATGTTTCTGTTGACTTTGTCAAAAGATCACCTGACTGCAGGTATGTGGCTTTATGTCTGGATTTTCTATTCTGACAATGAGATACAATCTTACACCAGTTAGAATGTCTTTAAAAAGTCAAAACATAACAGATATTGGGGAGGATGCAGAGAAAAGATGGTATAAAACTTGTTCTTAGCAATAAGGGAAGTGATTATGACAATCAGAAATGTTATTGGAAAGCTGTGGAAGAGAATCAAGGAAAGGCAGAAAATAAGTTGTTCTCCTTGTCAGGACCCAGGAAGACTTCTCCATTCCCCTCAAGCTCCAACTCAACTACGTTGGAAAGAATCAAGCCAATATACTTTTAATATGACAGGTACATAAACTAACAATGTATAATTCAAGTGACAATATTTTTCTCAACTAAAAATCATGTGGATGAGCTATTTTTTTAAAGTGTGCATTTTAAAACAGTACTTCTCTATGTGGAAGGATCCAGGTGCACAGGCTTCTGCAAAGACACAGTGTCCAGTCCTCAGTCTTGCATTCTCCCCTCCCTCCTCCTAGGAAAGCAGGGCTGGTGCTCAGGGAGACAGGTTGAGAGTGAGCTGCCAAGTGACTGCCAGCTGCAGTATATTCAGCCTACAGGGTGAGCAGTGAAGGAAGTGGGGGAGGGAGGTGATGAGTAGAGATGAGAGAAGGAAAGAAAAACTGAGGTTGATATTCAATCTAAAGAGGCAAGGCAGAGAAGGGAAATGAACCATCCATGTGGGGGCTCATGGGAGAAAACAGACCAGGAGAAGAAATAGCAAGGGTAGAACTAGAGAAATTTTGTGAAGAGAGGGGTGGTAGTTACAGCAGCTTTTAAATTTAAATTTTATTTAATTTTATTTTATTTTTTGAGATGGAGTCTCACTCTGTCTCCCAAGCTGGAGTGCAATGGCATGATCTCGCCTCATTGCCATGTCCACCTCCCAGGTTCTCAAGCAATTCTCCTGTCTCAGCCTCCCGAGTAGCTGGGACTACAGGTGTGTGCCACCACGCCCAGCTAATTTTAGTATTTTTAGTAGAGACGGGGTTTCATCATGTTAACCAGGCTGGTCTCGAACTCCCGACCTCAGGTGATCTGCCCACCTCAGCCTCCCAAAGTGCTGGGATTACAGGTGTGAGCCACCGTGCTGGCTACAGCAGCTTTTTATAAAATAAACTTAGCAGTGTTGTTCAAGGCACAAATAAATAGTAACAAGGAAATCTAGAAGAGTTTTAGACTGGAATATAAGCTTTGTGGAACATTTACCCACATTTAGACTGCCCAAACTAACCAAAACATCAGGTTTCTTGCCTTCAACTAGACTACTAGCCACCCGGGCATAATAATTATTGGTTAACTCAAGGGAAATGACTTATTGCTTAACAAATGTTATTGGTAGTAAAGATATGGAATCAACCTAAGTGTCCATCAACAGATGATTGGATAAAGAAAATGTATATACACATACACACAATGGAATACTATGAGCCATAAAAAATGATGAAATCATGTCTTGTGGCAACATGGATGGAACTGGAGGCTACTATCTTAAGTGAAATAACTTAGAAACAGAAAGTAAAATACCACATGTTCTCACTTACAAGTGGGAGCTAAATAATACGTACACAGGGACATAGAGAGTGAAGCAGTAGACATTGGAGACTTGGGAGGGTGAGAGGGGAGTGAGGGATGAGAAATCACTTAATGGGTACAGTGTCCACTATTCAGGTGTTAGCTACCCTAAAAGCCCAGGCTTCAACACTACACACAATATATCCATGTAACAAAATGACACTTGTACCCCCTAAATCTATAAAAATAAAAAAAGTTATTGGTTAAATAAACTATAAAGCCGGAAGTCTTCAAGGAGAAAAAATAATAATAAAAGGGGTTATTGGTGAATAAATATCAGGAACCACTGCTTTTCCCTTTATTTTTGAAAATAACTTTAGGAAATACTTGTCTCAGAAACTATAACTAGAAGTATTCATGGGCTATTCTTTTCTAGCTTTGTATGACTCGGCTATTGGATACTAAAAATCCATCCCTGGACACTATTAAGATGCAAGTCTACTTTGATATGAATTATACAAATCGAGGTAACATATACTACCTATTTTTATACTTAAATTTCGTATTGTATTTCAGCAAAGAAGGGCTTCATTTGGCTGACAATGAATTTAATTGTTTAATCAATTTAACAATTTAATTTTTGGCAATCTTTTGAAATATTTTTCAACTTTGAGGACTATAACAATGTTAGAAATGCTAAATGAAAAAAAAACCGTTGGCCTTTGTGAGGGTTAAAAGCGAATTCCAATTATTATGCTCATAATTATTGTTTCCAAGTCTGTTGTCTTTTAACCTTTATGGCACTAATACATAATAATTAGGAATTCGAACAACCAGCCCATTGAAGTTAAAAGTTTTTAATTTGTAGATTTTCCTGTTCCTGGTTTATGTTATTTTTTCATAATAATTACCTAAATTATATAACTATTCAAAAATGAAATGAATGATGGGGAGTTTAGAAAGCTTTTCAATATGTAACTTTTTTTTCTTTTCAGACAGAGTCTTGCTCTGTCACCCAGGCGGGAGTATAGTGGCACGATCCACAGATCACTACAACCTCTGACTCCCGGGTTGAAGCAATTCTCCCACCTCAGCCTCCCGAGTAGCTGGGACTATAGGCGTGTGCCACCTTGCCCAGCTAATTTTTGTATTCTTAGTAGAGACGGGATTTTGCCATGCTGCCCAGGCTGGTGTTGAACTCCAGGCCTAAGCCTGGAGTTCTGTCCGCACCTTGGACTCCCAAAGTGCTGGGATTATGAGTGTCAGCCACCACGCCCAGCTCATTATGTAAATAATTTAATGCATACATCAAACACAAGTTGGAAACAAAAGAAAAAGGAAAATGTAATTCTCTATGGACCGCCTCTGCCCCTGCTGTATAAAACAAATCTATTTCTCTATGGACTACCTCTACCTCTACTATATAGTACAATCATTATTAACAATTTGGGCCGGGCGCGGTGGCTCAAGCCTGTAATCCCAGCACTTTGGGAGGCCGAGACGGGCGGATCACGAGGTCAGGAAATCGAGACCATCCTGGCTAACACAGTGAAACCCCGTCTCTACTAAAAAATATAAAAAACTAGCCGGGCGAGGTGGCGGGCGCCTGTAGTCCCGGCTACTCGGGAGGCTGAGGCAGGAGAATGGCGTGAACCCGGGAGGCGGAGCTTGCAGTGAGCCGAGATCCGGCCACTGCACTCCAGCCTGGGCGATAGAGAGAGACTCCGTCTCAAAAAAAAAAAAAAAAAAAACAATTTGATGATTTTTCTCTTTATTAGTTTCAGTTATGCTACCTATGTAAAAGTATGTATCTTGCATTTTTGCTTAATAGGGAAATTTTAAAGCAATAAAATAGTCATAGAATTGATAAAATTTAATCCATACATTTTTACATTTGTTATTTAAACATATTTTTAATTTGCAAAGTTCTCAGTTGGTTTTGTGGCAAGAGTATAGGTATAAATTGTGTGTGGTGGATATGTTAATTATTGCCCTTGTAATGGTAATATGGGTTGTCTTATCATTGCAAGAACTGTACTTGCAACAACTCAGTGAACAGAGTCCTATCAAAGTTAAGCCTATCCCTCAGCATATCACAGGAGGAATGAGGAGGGATACAGTTCTCGATGCAACATCGTATTATCAATAATGCTTTTCAGAGGAAATTTATCTAGAACTGAAATAAAAATACACGTAACCAAAAGGAACATATATACTACATATATATTTCTGCTACTATATATGCTTATGTATAGTATACGACATGTGCTTACATATAGCATAAATATATAATATGTATATATTTATATTTTCATATAGTATTATATATATGTTGTAGAAATGGCCTTCTTTATTTTCTGCTTAATTGGGAGGTTTTAACCTTTTGTGAAATTTACTGTTTAGTTTGGCTGTTTAAAGTCTTAGGTGTTTTGACAAAGTATTCCATTTAAGTCACTGTCATAAATCTTTCCTACTGGATTTTTGTCTTGAGGCTACTTGCTGGCCACTGTTTTTTATTTCATTACTACAGCTTAAGAAATTGCTTGTTTTCCTGAAGTAGAATTGCCATATCCAATCCCAGTTTTTCTCTAGTTCTTATGTAAGAAGAATTCTAAAAATCAAATATATAGAACATTGTTATTTGGCAATTTTAGTGGAATTTCTCGAAGAACATCACCGGGTCCTAGAGTCTAGATTAGGCTCTGTTACCGGAGAAATTACAGATAACAGAGCATGTGCTAAAGAAGAATTGGAAAGCCTGTACCGGAAGATTATCAGCTATGTGTTACTCCGCTCTGGCCTTGGATCCCCTACAGACATCAAGACTGTCAGAGAGGTAACAGGTAAAAAGTATAACCAATTTCCATTTCATAAGTGAAAATATATGATCATTGTATTTTATAAAATATGTTAAATTAGAGGTGTTAAAAATTGAAGTTTCCTTTTTATCTGAAAAAAAAAAAAATCAGCACGAATGAGTTAAAACGTACCCACTCTCCTTTTACACTGTGTGTCTATTCTGAAACTCAAGTAGCACCTCTAGAAAGTGAAATATTGCTAATTTTCCTAGAGCTGCACATATCTAGGGACCTATTACACCTCATTAGAGAGACATTGATAGTAGGATTGAGGGTACCAGGCTGATTGAGTAAATGGAAAAGCTGGAAAGGGATATTTCATATTGATGAAAAGAATTGAGTCTGTCATTTAAAATGGATGATGGAAAGGGGCACTGTTTATCCTTAGGAAATCTTTGCCCTCTTTCATCCTTCAAAATGAGGAACAGGAAAAATGTCTAGCTCTCCTATGGCCTTCCTCCATAATTATTTTAAAGCATCCATTTTTCAGCTCAGATCCCTAATTAGAAAGCTCGTTTTCATGCCCATTGCCAAAAAGTTACTGCTGGATGCGCTTAATTATTAAAAATGGACATGAGGCAATGGCATAACTCTCAGTAATCCAGCTTTGATGTGTGCTATATTTTATTATGTATTCTGTAACCAGGTATCAGTAATTTAAAGAATCATGTAAGTAACTCAGACTCTTAACTTGCTGCTAAAGAAAAAAACTTATTTAACTTCTGATATCGTTATTCTATCATTTTGTTTTCCTTTTTTTTTTTTTTTTCTGGTTTATTTTAGCTGCTCTACAGAGCATTTTTCCTCAGGCTGAGCTTGGGACGTTTCTAACTCTGTCTAAGAAGGACAAAGAACGCCAGCTGAAAGAACTCACCATGATTGTTACTGGAATTCGTTTATTTAACAGAGACTGTGGAAAAGGTGGAGAAGGCATTGATGATTGTAGGTATATCATTAGGTTAATGCTAAAGGTCATGTATGTTTAAAATTTAAGTTGCACAGTGAGGAAAATAATAAACAACACACCAGGGGCATTCTTAAATTTAAGATTTGCATTTTTTTACTGTTTCCTGAAGAATAACTACTGTTTATAATGTATAGTGATTTTTACTTTTGCTGGGGCAAGACTTTACATTTTATGTACCATGAAGCTAGTAGGAGAAAGTGAATCAGTGAAAGCGATGAAGGGCCCTGCTCAAAGCTAACCTCCCTGTTCAGCGGGGCTTTGTGTTCATTACTGCAAGTCAGTAACCAAAAGGGAGTACAATTTAGTTATTTAAAAAACAAAAATCTTCCTGAAAACAGTTCCTGGTGCAGTTAATGGAATGAAAAGATCCACAAAGAGATTTTTAAAATCTCTAAATTCGGGGGCATCTGCTTTGTGGTTATATACTTAATGCATTCTTTATAAGTTTGAAAGTACTTATGAAATATTTAATGAAGTATCTACCAGTAGAAGTAACTTCCTTATGAAATTTGGTACTCCTGTATGTCCACCGATAAGGTGTTATTGTCTTTCACTAAATCGCTAATCTAGAATAAAAGGGTAATTTTTTTCTAGTTTAAAACCTGTTCTAAAAAGTCAAATTTCCATTTTCATAAATGACCCTCCCTTGCTAGACTATTCTGTCATTTTTCACCATCCAGATGAGTTTCTTAACAAACATTTCTTTTTTTTTTAAATAACTAGAAGATATACAAAAGGAAGGGTCAGTGGTTCTTCTGGAAGCACATGGTTAACAACACATAATACCAAACTCTGCCTATTCTCTACACTCTTCTATATTTAGTGGCAAAAGCTGACCTACTATAACTGGGTTATTCTGATAATATCGTTTGTTTGAACTTGTTTGTTTTAGGGTTTTTTTTTTTTTTTTTTTTTGAGATGGAGTTTCGCTCTTGTGTTCCAGATTGGAGTGCAATGGCGCGATCTCGGCTCACTGCAACTTCCCCCTCCCGGGTTCAAGTGATTCTCCTGTGCTGAGATTACAGGCGCGCGGCACCACACCCGGTTAATTTTTGTATTTTTAGTAGACACGGGGTTTCACCATGTTAGCCAGGATGGTCTCAATCTCTTGACCTCATGATCCGCCCGCCTCAGCCTCCCAAGGTGCTGGGATTACAGGCGTGAGCCACCGCGCCCAGCCTAGATTCATTTCTTTATGTGGTGGGACCCATGAAACACATGCCTCATTATTACTAATTTGATTGGGGAAAAAACCCTAACTTAATGCTTAAAATGTAACTACTTTCTAGGCTTCTTCTCCTTAATTGTTTTTAGTCTCCTTTATGACTGCCTTTTTATACTCTTACAAACAGTGCCAGCTGTTCTCCATGTAGCAATCCCAGCCACCATGCAGCATATTGATTACCAGCTTGAGACTGCCCGGAGCCAGGTATACCGCTACACAGCCATCCTTGAGAAGGCAGCCAACGACCCACACATGAGAGCTGAACTTCAGCCATATATGTTAAAAGAAGCGCTCTATAATATACGACAATATGAGGTCTTCCTTCAGATCATTTTGGTGAGTTAAGTTCATAAGATATAGGTATCTTTTTCCGTATAACGCAATCTCTTTATATAAGGCCACATCAGGTAGAACCAGGTCACTAATTAAGGAGACAACCTCAATAACTGCTCGGTTTACATTGCTTTGGTAGGGTTAGGAATCAAAATAGAAATAGAAGAGTTGGGCTTTGATTTTAATGAAAATCTTTTGGTAGAAATTGAATTTGTATTTTTTCATTGGTACTTGATAATATGATTGTTAGCATACTGTAGTTAAACAATGGTGTGTATGTAAGTAATACTGTGTTTATTTTAGTTCAGAGCAAGTAGCTAACATTGTTTGGCAGGTGGTTGCCTTTCAAATAATTTTTGTGTAATTATTTGTTCTCACTGTAACTGGTGGAAAGGATTTTTTTTTAAAGGTTTTTTGTAGGCCAGGCACAGTGGCTCATGTCTGCAATCTTGGCACTTTGGGAGGCAAAGGTGGGCAGATCGCTTAAGCCCAAGAGTTCAAAACCAGCCCGGCCAACATGGCAAAACGCTGTCTCTACAAAAAGTAAGAAAATTAGCCGGGCACCGTGACATGTGCCTGTATTCTCAGCTGCTGAAGAGGCTGAGGTGGGAGGATCACTTGAGCCTGGGGGGCAGAGGTTGCAGTGAGGCCAAGATCACACCACTGCACTCTGGCATGGGTGACAGAGGGAGACCCTGACCCTGACTCAAAAAAACTTAAAAAAAAAAAATATAGAGTGGGGTCTTGCTATGTTGCCCAGGCTAGTCTCGAACATCTGGCCTCAAGCAATCCTCCTGCCTCGGCTTCCCAAAGTGCTGGGGTAACAGGCATAAGCCACCACACCTAGCCAGATAAGATTTTTATATCTGGTGTTTCTAGATCTAATGAACAAGCCACACAGTATCCCTAGAGAGTTGGAAAATATGGTAAAGTGGTGGTTATAACCTTTTTAAAAAGTAGCAGTGCCGTTTCTGTCAGATAGAAACTTACTCAGAATCTTACAAATATAAAACAGATATCTACATAAAGGGATTGGAGGACCTTTTCACTAAGGGATATCCCCATGACACTCTAGGGTTGTAAGGAAGACAGTCTGTTAATTACTGCATGATGCCAAGTTATGTTCCCACTCATCACCATTTACTTTTACACAACCTCTGTTTTCCAGTAACTATGAGATTCTCGGTTAATGGAACTGTCTTTTGTATGAGTGAATGCTAATTTCTTGAGGGGTAGAATAGGATGTATTCTGACCACCTCTTCTTTTTAACTTGTATTTTAATGACTTGGTACTACTATTGGATGCACTTAGTCTGTCCTCTCTCCTTACCTAGCTGTCCAGATGACATGACTTCATTCAGACTAGGGGTTGTCCTCACAACTAGCCTATCTCATTGTCTTCAGAAGGAGGATCCTAGCTGGGAGGCTGAGGTTAGAGAACTGCTTGAGGCCAGGAATTCAAGACCAGCCTGGGCAACATTACGAGACCCTGTCTCTACAAAAAATAAAATTAGGCAAGCATAGTACTAATGGTACTAACTTATAATCCCAGCTACTCAGGAGGCTGAAGTAGGAAAATTGCTTGAGCCCAGGAGTTTGAGGATACAGTAAGCTTTGGCTATGCCACTGCGCTCCAGCTTGGGTAGCCAAGGAAGACCCCATCTCTAAAAAGAATAAATATATAAATAATAATAAAAACCAAGTCACTCTCTTGGGGTAGATATTTCCCTTTACATTACCTTGTGGCTATCAGCCTTATGTTAACTAGTCAGCTACTAAGGGGATTTTGTAATCAGTTTATTTTGAAGTGCATGTGAGTCCACAGGAGTAGAACTTCGCATTCACATTTGTCACCTGCATTCAAAGGCGATACTATAAGAAAGAACCTTGGGAAACTGTCACACAACTGTAAGGATGTTGCAGAAGATGTCATTCATTATATAGAATCTTCTCATAGCTTTCAATCATGAATCCACCAACTGTCTTAAATTCTCATTGGCGTTCTACTTCTCACAGCTAGAGAGGGACAGTGAGTAAAGTGTAGAAGTGATGAGTGTGGGCTTTGCAACCAGACTACATGCATTCTAATCATGACTTTGCCAATTACTAAATCTGTGTCCCTAAGGAAGCTGCTTAACTTCCCTGTGCCTTGGTTTCCATATCTGTAAAATGGGGTTATTCATAGTCTTCACCATGTAAATAAGGCAGCATAGCGCCTGGTGCAAAGGCTCAATAAAGTGATGATGATGTTGTTTATGATTATCATCATCATCGTTAGGGTGTTAGCTGAACAGCTGTGATTTCATTTGTCTAGTGGAACAGCTGAAGAGCTTTTATTTTTCCATACAGTATCTCATTTCCAAGCTCCTTGCTGCTCATGTTGGTGAAAAAGTTAATTTTCTTATCCAAGCGCTCTTTATGGCCATTTTGTGCTGACTTTAGTCAGGATCAGGATGAGTTTTCTTAACTTTCTGATTCTTTGCTCAAAGAGTCTTTTTTGTTTTGTTTTGTTTTTAAACTATTCAATCCTTCCCTATCAGTCTTAGTGACAATTAAGGTTGATTATTATGAAATGGATATTGGTTTAATCAGTATTATCTCTAGATTATAAACTGCATCAATTTAAAATTAGCCAAGATTTTTCCTATATTAAAATCTATGAATATTCTTTTTAAAGTCACATTATTTGAACAGATACTAATTAAAAATTTTAAAGTAGCAATTTTGATTTTTAAAAATTCTCTCCTCAAAGTTTCAGTTTATGTGAACATTTAAAAAATCCAATATGGGCCGAGTGCGGTGGCTCATGCCTGTAATCCCAGCACTTTGGGAGGCTGAGGCAGGCGGATCACCTGAGGTCAGAAGTTCGAGACCAGCCTGGCCAACATGGTGAAACCCCGTCTCTACTAAAAATACAAAAGTTAGCTGGACATGGTTGTGGGTGCCTGTAATCCCAGCTACTCAGGAGGCTGAGGCAGGAGAATCGCTTGAACCCAGGAGACAGAGGTTGCAGTGAGCCAAGATTGTGCCACTGCATTCCAGTCTGGGTGACAGAGTGAGACTCTGTCTCAAAAAAAAAAAAATATATATATA